AGTTAGTCATATCATATCTATTATGTATATACATGTGTATATTAAAAAAGAATTTCCAAAATAGTATTAACAATTAAATAAAATGACTAAATATTTCTGAATTTCTTCTCAAACTTTGCGAACAATATTCATAGTTTGTAACTGCGCTGTCTCAACATTGTCCAAATATTAAATTAATTTAGCTTAAATAAATATTTCATTAAATTCATTGTTTAGACTGCTCTCCTTTCGTTAATATTACTGAAACTTGATATACTTAATTATTTACTTATAGCTTCTTGTATATAGTTACGTCAAAAGCGGCATAATACAGCTTAAGCAAACTAAGTACCTACACAATATTTTGTAGTTAGCGTTTCTGAATTTTTGTAGTAAAATATGTTATTGAACAGTAGCTCCTTTTGTTTCTTGAATATTGAGAATATATTGGTTATTGTAATTTTTATTTTCAGTTTATTTTATGCACAAAATGTTTTCGAGTACAAAAAAGGGATGGAATTATTGTAAAAATTGAGTGTTTGTAAAATAAGTAATTCCGTTAAAAAGTGCTTGAATGGAAATACTTTTTAATTTTTATATATTACAAGCATAAGGCTTACATCGATTTGGAAATGTACAATATGTATAAAATAAAAATATTTCTTTTTAATTATGCACATTACTGCATGGTTAGAACGATTTTTTTTCATCAAGAAAATAAATGCATCCAACGAGTACGGTGTTTTGTGATATCAATATGTCCTTAACGTCATTGCATTTCAGTCTCTAGGAAACTACATTCCAAATTTCATCTATCTCCGAGACTAATCTAATAGCCTCCGAGTAAAATGGCTATGACATATGGACGGTCGGATGGATTCCATTTTTTCCATTTGGTAAAATGCTAAAAATGTCCTTTTGGTTCTTCAACATATGTATAACACAGTATGTATTGTACATAGTAAATATAAGATTGTATAGATTTAATATTAAAATATTTCATGAGAAATTATTACAGATCGAATCTTTGTTATGCCTACACCCAGTTTGTCTTAAGCATAGCACCACATTTTGTTATCATAAAAATTATAAAACATATAAAAATATCTAAAATTTCTACTGTTATTATAAAATTGTTCAGAAGCCCAATATTGTATGCTAATGAGGTCACAGAAACAAGATTGTCTTCTGTTTTATAAAATAACAGGCGTATCCACTTTCATTTTTTCGAGTTCCGGAACCAGAATATTCTATTGTTTTGTTTGTAATATATACTGTCATTATGTTAGCCACTTGCACTTTTATATTACGCGTTTGACATAACTGACACATTATGATATCCGTTAGATGTTTCATCGTTATGTCTATGCACTTCCCTTTATATTATTAACTGGTTTTTACCCGCGACTTCGTCCGCGCTAATTTCGGAATTAGTAATATATTTATAGCTGACCGAGCGAGCCAGATATTGGAGTTTATTAAGCATTTTTTTCATATTCGATCGAACAGAATTAAATATCCTATGTCCGTGTCCTGGTACTAACTACTAAACCATCTCTCCGTCGCTTTTCCATCATATCCCTACAGCTGTTCTTGAGTTATAAATAGTGTAACTAACTCAACTTTCTTTTATAAATATAGATTATTAATAGTTTATTAACTACGAAAGTAAATTTAAAATTGTCTTAAAGCACATATAAAATAATTATAAGAACATGAACTCATATGTATTAGTTAATAATACCGCATGATAGAACTTCTTATCTACTTAAATGGAGCCATTTCGTAAGCTAAAGTTTCGTTAAAAGAATCGTAAGAATGCTATTCTGACGATGGAGCACTAAAGTATTATCTCTTCAAAGAGGTCCTTAAATAACTTTAATTTCACCAGTTACATTTGTATACATAAAAATAGTACGTATTTTTACCAAATTATTTTTATTCTAGGTAATATTTAAATTAAATTTTATATAATATGCTAAATAATTAAATATGATTTTGTAATATATTTTTTACTGTAATCGTTAAGTCACGTCACAGCTTGAAATGTATTTAGTCGCGGTTTATATATTTTTTAGTTATTGAGGTAAATATTACGATTGCGGTGAAACGTTGACGTCGGCTGTCAATTGTAACATCAACTCTCGGTCATAATCTGTGACCTTCGGTGAAAGCGTGACGGTGGTTTATTTCTAAGGAGACATAGAATACATTTTTCTCTATGGTCATAATCGTTTATTATTCTGTCTCTATCTCTTTCTCTCTCTCTCTCTCTCTCTCTTAGTTAATGGCATTTCCTTATAGATTTCGCAAATGTCATGTATCGATATTATACTGAACTGTGTAAAGAGGGATTTGTGAATAAACAAGGTCGCGACTAGAGACTAAATACTTTGACACTACTGAGATCGTTCACCAATTGGCGTATATTATTTTCCAAAAATCCATGACTTTAATTGTCATCCCTACTAATATTATAAATGCGAAAGTAACTCTGTCTGTCTGTTACGTTTTCACGCCTAAACCACTGAACTGATTTGAATGAAATTTGGTACAGAGATGGAGTTGACCTTGAGAAAGAACATAGTATAGTTTTTATCCCAGACTTTTGAAAGGTTCTCTTGGAACTGCGATATAACCGAACTCCCACGCGGGTGAAGCTGCGGGCGGAAAGCTAGCGGAAAGGAAATATTTTATGTTTTTTTTTGGTATAACTAGTATAGTTTTGATTCTTATTTCTTAAGATAGCTATTTTTAAATCTAGTTGTTTTCAAAATTATGTTCATACATATGTATACAGTATGTAAACATGTAATTTGTATGAAAACATGTAATTTATTAACCACTCATTTTTGTACTATAAAATGTTAGAGAAAATCTTAATTTATTATTAATTTTTATAAGATTCTGTTCTTTCAAAACTTGAGACTGGAAATTAATTTTATTAGACCAGACTTGAATGAAGGAGGTGGGAAGGGGTAGTGCAAACGAAAGAAAAATGGTTCATGAATAACTTACGTTCATCATAATTTTCATCACTTAAATTCACGAATTTTCTTTTAAATATATAATAAATCTGACTTAAAAAAATTGTGGAACTACGTTTTTCTAGAGGTACTTGAAAAGAATTAAATAACTATTAGTATTTATTGTTCCTACATTCATGATTGGTATTAATACGTACGGTAATTTTGTTTGTCTAAATTATTATTTTATTACTATTATATTAATATAATTTGAATGAAAGTTACATTTGAGCCTACAATGACATAACAGTATCCGTATAGCCAGTGGGCGCCGGCGCCATAGTGAAAGTTTTGTATTGCGTTTCACTTCCACTTCGTCCCCTTGCTAATTTTGTATTTTTCATCCCATTTTTATTATTAGTACTGTCTATACAATATATAATTTAATATAAAAGAATATATTATGCATTCCTTAAAGGGAAGGTCTTATAGAGAAAAATTGTTAAGATATTCTGCATTTAAGAGCTGTTCAATCATTTTTATCTACACACTTTATTAATAAAATACGGTTCATTGGTTTTTAAAATCTATGCCGGGAGTTAATATTAAAATTTCATAAAGTTCCTTTGCCTTCTAAAGCACATTCTTACACAAGCGTCGTTTTATATTAAGTTTCTTCGGATAAATCTCTATTCTTTAGAGTGTTTGCACTAAAACTTCCGAAGGAACTACCTAGATTTAAATTTTCAAACACAAAATTTAACTTCAAAAAAGATTGCATAATATGTTGTTATCAACTATGAGATGCAATCAAATATTTTCTTTTGAAAATATAATGTCTTCGTCAAACTTTCCAACATATATATACGTTGTACACACAATTATTAAAACATAATATAATACTATTATCAATTAGCAAGAGTAATCATGTTAATTACATACTAGCTATTAACCGCGACTCCGTCTGTTAAAAAGAAACAAAAAACTATGGAAAAACTTTTAAGCTCTTTATGGGCCCCGCCTTCCACTCGCACGTTATAACGGTTAATTTCGGGATCGGGATGTAAAGTAATCTACTCCATATTAAAACAGCTATTTTCCATTAAAGTACCATGAAAATTGGTACAGCCTATTCAGAGATTAGCCGGAATAGACGCAGGCAGAAAGGCCAAAATTGTAAAAAGTGTTATTTTGGTGTACCTAGCGTATATACATAATTGTGTATATTATATGTGTGTAGTATAAAGCGGCTTTTTTATTATTACAAACGTACACTTAATCTTTATTTACATGTAGAGCTGTATAGATTATGGATTTTACCGTATCAGATTATGGGAGAAATCAGAACGTCATTATTATTCAATAAAACTTATTACTTTCCAAGCACAGTTTTAAGTAAGGAGTATTATAATATAAATATCTGTACCCACAACGATGCAAACAATAGATCAAGAAAGAAACCGTAAAGTCAAGTAATAACAAAAGATTAGATTCAAAAGTGAGTTAGTTATGAGAGTTAAGTCGAGCGAACTGTAAAGTTACATAACGAAAGAAAGTACTCAACCGAATCATTACGCTCGTATGTGGGTTATAATGGATTATTTTGTATAACAATGCAGAATAAGGCTTCATATAGTATGTCATTGTATACGGAAGATGAGCTTTCTTAGTAAAACTGTAAACGTTTGCTAATGTCTCTAGTCTCTACGTAGAATTGTTTACAAGCTGCCTCTAACGTTCTGTTTGGTTAGTCTGCCATCGAAATATTAATATAGAGTTCTAGTACATAATATACCTGATTTTGTAATATTTTTTTTAATTTTGATTTTACGAAAATTTATGTTCAATATATAAAGTTTTTTAGGCGAAATAATTAAATAAAACTGATAGAGGTAATTTTATATACCTTATTTTCAACCAGTACACATATTTCAATTTTATATATAGCTTTTATTGATCTTATATTTGATGGAATATTTTTGTTGTAGATAGAAGAGGTGGCGGGTGGCGGATGCCAGCGGTGCCGTCGAGGCAGCGGCAGCGGAGCGTAGCGAGATGAGCGCGCCGCTGTCCGCGGCCGAGGCGCTCTCCTCCTTGTTGTGGCAGCCCTACGACTGCCGCTCGCCGCCCCTCTTGCGCTCCCGCACCGATGGAGCCCTGGCCAGCGTGTACCTCGTCGCGGGGGACGGGGCGCTCGATCACCAGTCGCCGAGCGGCGGTCGTCATGCGCGCGCGTCGTACTGTGCGACTACTCACGAGATGCGGCTGCCCGTACCGGCGCCGGCCCCGCTGCGCAAGTCGGATTCGGTATCAGTGCGCGTACCCGGTGAACCGAGCCGATCGGATGTGTGCAATGTGAACATAGTGCAGGTGCGAGATGCACCCGTTCCTAATGTGAACAGTGCGGTGCAGACGGAGACCGAGAGGAGTGTAGCGAGTGCGGAGTGTCAGACCGAGGAGCCAGCGAGGCGGCGGCGGGTGCGGCGTGCGCGGGCGCCGCGGGTGCCGGACCTGTTGGAGAGCGTCCCGCCGCCGCCGTACAGCACGCTGCCTCAGCCCGTGCACCCGGTGTCCGTGCCGGTGCCAGTGCCCGTGCCAGTGCCAGTGCCACCACCCGCGCCCATAGTCGGGCCGCATGCTCCTTCAGCACACCGCTTTCCTTTCCAGCCCATACCTCTCAGGTAGACTTCTTTTTAGATGCATAGCAATCAGTAGAAAATTATTACGCATAAAGTATACACTTATTTAAAGACAATAACAGAACCATATTTAAGTTATAGCCATTGTAATAATCTATAAATAAGAAACTTCGTTATAAAGCCAAGTTTAGAAAGTCTTGTACTTAAGCAAAATATACAAATGCAATACAATAGGATATAAAGGTTTCGCCATAAATGGTCCGATTGGTATTGCGTAGAAAGGTCTATTCAGTCAGTTTAGTCGGTCGTGTCAACAGATGCAGTTTCGGAGAAAGGAGGATCTTTGTTGTGATACGTGATGGTACCAAGTACATGAAATGCTTGGAATATTTTTTGTATACTACATTTCGCTACATGCTTTGTACTGCATATTCTTTCTTTATTCACATTCTGCTCATTTAATCGAAACGCCCTTTAAAGTCTTTCATTTTCTTTGTCATTACATAAATGTAATATATTTATGAAGTAATATAATAACATAAATTATGGACGTATGAATTATCATGTTAAGACAAAACTGAGTAACAAAGTAACATTACGCATTCAAGCAGCAAACAGAAAGTCACAGTGAAAACGGGAGCAAAATCCGAGCTGACCTTGATGAAAGCCAAATACTTCTCATTCAAAATGTGTCCGACGTAATTCGTTAAATTTATGCAAACGGCACAACACTATAATCCCTTTACTCAGCAAAATTCTGTTTTAAAAATATATTTAAGTAAACACGAGTTGCTACTTTACTTAACTGAAAAAAAAGTTTTTTTTTTCTTTTATTTATATAAATTTTTCCTAAAAAAGATATCAGAATAATTTGATGAAATATGCTGAGTAGGTATATCTTTTATTGTCTAGGGCCTTTTATGTTTGATACTGACACATACGACTTTTTGCTTATAACTTGCTAGACAATATGAATAAGAATACGAGTATATTTATTTTAACATGAACGTCTACTGAATGAGTCTAAGAATTAAACAAACATTTTTTCACACTTTTTTATACTAGCTGTTGTCGGCGTCTTCGAATGAAACTGGTTTGATACACACTGTCTAATTAAAATAACGGGATTAATTCACATGTCCCTGCAGTAAAATTGTGGCTTATTTTACGTAATATTTATAGAGCATTACTTCTCAAGACTATTTCTAGTTAAATAAAATAAATTCGAAGTGATGAATAAAGATACAAAAAAATAGAAAAACATCACAAAATGTATGTGGTTTTCTTCGATGGTCTTTACTGTGACTTAAAATATGAATGTACCTGTAAAAATTTAATATTACTTCAATAGTTTTGAAATTGTCTTTGCAACATGCGACTCTTCTAATATATTTTCAAAACTTTACATTAGACCGGACAGTTTATTCTACTGTAATAAGATATTAAATTTTAGACTTTATAAATAAATAAAGATAATAACAGAAAAAAGTTAAACTGAGTAATCATTTATAAACTAGGAAAAATATGTATTATATTCAAAATTTAAATAATTCTGTTACTTTGTAACATTGAAAATGAACAAGTAATGTAAATTAACATCCTTTTATGAAACAGCAAATGGTCTTTTAAATTGCGAGCATTGTGTCGAATATAATATATGAATGGAACGACAATTAATGAAAAGGAAATATTTTTATTTATAAAATGTACCGCATAGAAAACAGTTTGATTATACAACATTGTTTGATGTACATAAATTAAGAAGTCTGCCATGAACCCCATACAAAAATTTCATATCAATCTAATCTGCAACTTGTGGAACTAAATTAACATATTTTTTGAGAAATAAATAAATAAATGAATATTTTCTTAATGCTATTTAAGTTCACACACAGATTTTTTTTTACAAGGAAACAATTTTTAAACTTGATTAAGATTCAAGAACATATTGCTTCCGAATTCTTTTTGATATTGTATTACAAAATATTTCTTAAAGAAATATAAATTAAATTTAGAATTATTTAACCTTTATTTTAACTAATTCAGTTCTCGTGAAATGCATCAAACACTCGATACAAGTTTTTGCTTTCATTTCTATAAACCCAAGTGAATCGCGACAGACGAGGAAAGTAGCACAACGTTTTTAGTAGACTTGTTTATAACAGATGTTAGATTTTATGTTAAAATGTAAGTATCTATGAGAGCAGAACTTGTAGATACTTACATTTGAACCATTCAGAATTCAAACCTTTATTGTTAAGTTATACATATGTACGCATTTAAGATCTAATTAACAGTTATTCGTCGAATTTCAAAGGAATCAATTAAGTATTATTACTTTTCAATATACTTATATAAAGGATTTCTTATAAGGCAAAGTAGTTTAGTTTATAAGTTGGTCAAATATAGTCTTAACTGCAGTGTTCTTATTTGAGCCAAGGTCCGTGTAGGTTGCTCTTGTGACACAGAATAGATGTGTGTCTGTATGCCATAGACTTTAAACGAGCACTTACAACTCCACCGTACTACGAACAAGTTATATTTTCGATAGTTTTATTCGAGAATTGCTAATAATACTGACAGATAATTGACCCATATTTTGTTTGAAATATAAAATAGAGAGCATTTATCACTGTGTCACATGACAAATATTTTTGTAATATCCAATTTTCTGTTTAACAAAAAGTAATTACAATTTTAGCACTCTGACAACATATTCGCAGTGTAATAAAATGTTGGCCTCTTCAATATGGCGCAAGATGTTGGCTGTTAACATTCATGCACCTCTTAGTTATGCGTCAATACGAGTGTTTTTTCGTAATTTAAAATTTAAACTTTACTAGGCTCTAATAAAAAAAATGTTATAAATCAAAGTGTGCACATGTACGTAAACCATGGCCTCTGCAGATTATAATCGATGTTGTGACTGAATGTTTCTTATTCTAACATATAGAATTTTACTGTCAATAATGACAAAAATAAAATTTTACTTGTATTTCGTTTATTGAGAATCAAGGTTTACTTATTTAATTTTTGTTAACTTTTATAATATAGCCAGCATTGAAATTATGTTATTAATAATTTTCACAAATCAGCGTTAACAAGGATCGCTTGACTGAACTAATTACTTTGAAAAAATTACTTTGGAGTTATCCAATTAAGCTTATTTTTTCTTTAAAGCTATATCCTCAGTTTATTTATCGAAACCGGTTCATCATTCCATGTGCTTCTATTCCGAGACTTCACTTCCTTGAATGTTAAATGTACAAATATACTCGCACCTCGGACTATGTTGGCACTCTGCCAACATCCTAATGGTCGGGACTAGCGCCAAAGCCACCAGAAAATGTTTTCTATCGGAAACTTAACTTGTACCTTAAGTGGATTAATAGTTGAATATCAGCAGCATAAATTACTTAAAACTTTATATTTATTACTAAGCCACGAGAGTACTTTCTTGATATTCAAATTACAATATTATAAATATTATTAGATATAATATTGCAATTATCAAATACCTAAGCTGTACAAATATATATAAATATTTATTTAGCTTAAGTATTAGTTATTAAGATGTTTTTTATCCGGGTTTCTTTGCACTGGACTATATAAACTGTGACTGTGCCAAATCTCTCAATATTTCGTGCCCGCATTTTTCTCAAAAAGACATACAAAGATTTCGACAGAAATACGGATACAAAAAAAAAATAAATATGTCCGCTTTCTTATAACAACACCGAGGACATTATTATACTATTTTACAACAGGAAATGTTAAATGAGCATTATACAACCGCTTTCCACGACAGCATAGATCTCAAGCACTAGTTAATATTTCCTGTTAGATTTCCCACACGTGCTGTGATATTTTTTCTTATTGTCATTTTTCGTTGCATGCGGTTTGATTCGAGCAAGATTGCTCCGGTCTCGTAATTCGGAGCCAATTACGAGAGCGCGATCCTCAGGGCACTAGGAATCCAATTTACGAGTATTGTCTAACTGTCCGTGGCACTGCGTACCTAAAATACTTCATAACTGTTCACTCAATCATTGTATCAGATTATTTTAAAATATAAAAATAATATTTTTGGATGTAGCCATACAAAAATATATTTCCTTTCAACTCCAATATGTTACGTTATAATATGTTTTCAATGTGCAATAGTAATTTGTAACATGTATTACAATTTTTATCAATGCTATTGCAGTCGTATTTTATAATAATTTGATAGTGATACTAACGAAATTCTACATTTATTACAAAAAAATGTATTTGGTAACAATGATAGCGTAAATTATTCGTGCTCAGGAAAAATTATTTAGGTTTGTATTAAAAAATATATATTTTTACACGTAGGGACAAACGAAAATCGAAATTATTCAAGAATCTTTAAAAATCGTGAAGTAATAGTGATGAAATTGATATTACGTGTATTACCTTGAGCGTTTCGTTTACAAAAGATTAGTCTTTTTTATTTACTTGCAGTAAGTGCCTTAGAATAAAGTTACGTATTAATTCCCATGAGTTGTAAATTTCTTAAAACGAAGTATTACTATTGAGAATCTATGTTTATGTCATACATTTTGTAAGTATAAAGTAAACGGTATTTTAGACGCATACGAACAACAAAGAGCGTTAAACTATTCAAGCTTGTGTACGAAATTAATTGGACAAGGAATATTATAAATCCCAAAGCGGGCATCAAATTTACTATTCCATGGCCATTAACGAGTTAATTTTGGGACCACGTCAAGGCAATAAACGTGAATACTTCAAAGCAAACATAATCACTAAGATATTTTTATATCATTTGCCACACTTCATTGTTGTTTATTGAAGTGAACATCTCTCATTAAATATTCTCCCAGTAATAGTGTGTGACACGCAAAGAAAATGTGTGTTTCATTGCATCGCTTGATAAACGTCCTAGAGTCGTTGTACTGTGTCATGCGATGTGTACGTTATTGAAAATAAAAGGGATCTTAGGTGAGTAATATTTGTATCAATCTAATTAAGAAATTCTATAGATTATCTACCTGTAA